GTCAGTCTCACCCCAAAAACTCAACTATGAGATCGAAAAGAAACAAAGAAAGCATACCGGGACGCAAGTGGCAGGGCTCTAAAGCCCTGACCCATGGGCAACGGGCTTGCCGGATGAGGGCCGCTCGCAGGTCACGAGCCACGCCCCCTCACTTCAACCGAGGGGGAGTCGACCCGGCCGGCTCTCGCTCGGCCCGCGCGTCGCCACGAATGCCGGCTCAAGGCGTGCTGACCGGAGTAGCTGGCAGGGCATCCCCCTATTGTGGGTCACGCACAGGTGTCGGCCCTGATGATGCGCGGGTGTGAGCCCACTCCTTCGACTGCCTGCCCTACCCTGCCTCGCCCAGAGCAGGTGGGGACAAGGCCGGCGATGCCTCCGAAGGGCGCAGCGACTGTGTCCGCTTCGCCTCCTGCTCACCGATAGCGTCTGAGCTTGCGGCGCGCTTCCTTGGCACGGGAACATCGCTGTGCGTCTCTACCTCCCGCCCACCATCGGCAAACACGGCCGTAGGCTCACGACTCTCCACCGAAGTCACGACCTCTCTACCTCCCTCATCCTTGGAGGAGATCACGTCATCACCCATGTCCGTGGGATCCTCTGACTCAAGCTCCGCCTCGATGATGCTCCTATTCTCCCCGGCCCGCACGCGTCGGGCGATATCCTGCTCCCTCTGGTGCCTCTTCCGAGCCTTCTCAGCTCTCTTCTTCTTCTGGCTATCTGCCACCTCCTTCAGGGCCACCTGTCGAGCCATGCCCTCTGGCCCCTTTGGGAGGTGCGGCTAGAATTTATAACTGGTAAGTCCCTGCAAAACGGACGACTTGAAGTCAAATTATAGGAGAGAAAAATCGAAAGGGACACAGAATAAGGAGAGGAGAACGTACCAGATTGGGCAGCTTCCCGACATGGAAAGGTCTGGGATTTCCTTCGAGGGTCTCCTGGGCCTTCAGCTGCAGCACCCGGTCGAGTCAGCTCTAGACTTCGTCCTTCGCCAACTCCACCGGCGATGCGTGGTCGGGGTCCGTCGGGCCGGAGTACAGCCACATCGTCCGCGTCCTTTCTGCCAGTGGGGTGACCCAACGGTGAAAAAAGTTGTGGAACACCCTCAGCCCATCGAGGCCGTGCTGCACCAGCTTCTGGAGCTCCTCCCCGATGATCTCCAGCTTGTTCTACTGGCTGGAAGGGACCCACGACCAGCTCTCCCGCCTCTCTGGCCTCCTGCCGGTGAACGGCGGGAATAGCGCCTCTGCCGGGTTCCTGATGTAGAACCACTCCCCATGCCACCCCCGATTGGAGTTGCAGGGGGTGTACGTGGGGTAGGCGCCCGACGAACTCGGCTTCTTCTACAGGGCGAAGCCCCCAACCGGCGCAGTCCTGGGCGGCGTCCCCTCTGACAAAGCTCGCCCAAAGAAGATCAACTGGAAGAAATCCACGTGCAGCTCCATCCTGAGGAAGGCCTCGCAGACGATGATGAAGCCGGTGACGTGCAGCACCCCAGTCAGATTGAGGTGCTGCAGCTCTAGGCCCCACTCATTGAGGAGCCCATGCAAGAACTAGTGCACAGGGTACCCTAGCCCATGCTCGTGGAAGGCGAGAAAGGAGACGACCTCGCCGGCCTGAGGTCGTAGAAAAGCCTCCCCTACAGGAGCCCTACAGTGCACCACCTCCTTCGGCGGCGGCAGTCCCTTCTCGGCGAAGGCGGTCAGCACCGACTCGATTACACTGGATGACCTCTAGCTCGACATTTCGCTCTGAATTCACGAAATAGATCTGTGAGTTCTCCTCTCCCTCGCTCTACCCTCTCTCACTTAGGAACCACCGCGGCACGAACGCTCTTGGCGAGAAGGAAGAAGGAGGAGAGGCGGCAGTTGGGGAATAGGCGAAGGAACGGGACGAAAGCCCTCTCCCTTCCCCTATTTAAGGAGGAGGCACAACAGCTGGGGAAAGGTGAAGGATTGGGGCGAAAAACCCTCTCCCTTCCCCCATTCAATGCGGATGGGATGCGGCGGGACGCGTCCTAATTGATGGGATGCACCCTGCCTGACGAGACGGTGCCTGGTTAGATGGGACATGGCTTGGGCATGGCCCACCACTACCACATGCCGGGCGTGGGAAACAAGGTGCAACCGCACGCAGGCGGCCCTCTGCCTTCCTAGGCAAGACTTGGAAAGGCCCAACAATGGGATCTCCACCAAGGAGAGACCAACGGGCTTCCTGAGTCGATCGGACGGCTCAGGTGAACGCCGAGAGACAGGTAAGGAGCAAAGGGACGCCCCATGTGGGCCATGCCGACTCCGTCACAAACGACGATCGCGGATCCCATTCGGACATATCCGATAAAAACTCCTCAAGCATGTCACTCGAGTCATTGAGGTAACTCTACCAATCCCTCTTACTTTATTTTATTTTCTAAATGCATAAACATTCATTCATCCATTCTCATACACGCATTCACACATGCATGCATTCATTCATCCCATACATTCGAATCATCGCATATGCAATTAAATGCATCACAACGCTCCGTGTTGCATCACGAAGTGGTAGTTGCCTCGTTCAAACATGAGCAATGACCGACCGGGGTTCGAAGGCCGGCCCACAAAGGGCTCGAGGCCACCTCGCGTCAAACAGAGCTAGGGGAGAAAACGCAGATGAGCCCCAGCGGCCCTCGCCCAATCTGCTCTGAAGCAGACAGGGTCATCTCAACCTTCTCGTTCGATCCTAACCTCGAGCCATGCCCACAGAATCTCCATCGAGGGGAGGCCAGCGGGCCACATGGGTCGGTCTCTGGAACGACCCAGGAATCTACCGAGACGCGGATTAAGGAGTAGTGGAATGCCACATGAGGGCTATGCCGACCCCGTCATGAACAACGGACCCGGATTCCACTCGAACGTGCCCGTTAGTGAGCTCACCGAGCGTGTTGCTCGAGGCATCGAGGCAAGCAACGTTAGCTCAGCCCCTCCGGTTGTGGGAACCATAGATGGGGTAACGCACGAAACTAGACCGACCCCTACCAAGCCCAATGGGGCTCAGGGGCTCAGGTCGCCTGACACCGACTCAGGAAATCAACCGACCGCGTAGGTCGCGAGAGGGACAGACACGGGCGAATGCCCCAAACGATAGTCTGTGGCCCCAGGAAAGAGTACCAAGATGCTCAGCCTCCAACCAACTCATCAGTCAGACGTAGGCTCAGGTACTACACCCGCAGGTGCACTCGCGCGCACCCGCTATCAAAACAAAAAAATTCCCCCGCTATCAAAACGAAAAACCCCCCAGACGATTCTACCCGAATCGCCCGGGGGCTCGGGGGCTACACCCGCGGGTGCGCTCGCACGCATCTGCCGTCAAGATGAAAACCCCCCGAACGATTCTACCCGAATCGCCCCGGGGCTCAGGGGCTCCTGTCGGGTTCATAAACCCGGGGTCCATCATAGACCTACTTCCCAGCAAAAGCTCGGCCTAGCAGACGGCGTTGCGAACGACGCACATCTCCTGGGCTAGCCCAAAAACCTAAACGATAGGCCAGAAGGGCGATCCAGACTCCGACCAGAAGGCCTGGCCAAAGAGGAATGGTGCTCGCTTCCGACTTCGGCCCACCTCTCCGACTAGAAGGCCTGGCCCGACGAGGAACGGTGCTCACTTCCGACTCTGGCCCGCCTCTCCAACCGGAAGGCCTGGCCAAGGAGAGGACGACGCTCGTCTCTGACTCTGGCCCGCCTCTCCGACTCTCCGACCGGAAGGCCTGGCCAAGAAGGGACGACGCCCACCTCCGACTCTAGCCCGCCTCTCTGACTGGAAGGCCTGGCCAGACGAGGAGCGGTGCTCGCTTCTGACTCTAGCCCGCCTCTCCGACCAGAAGGCCTAGCCAAGGAGAGGACGACACTCGTCTCTGACTCTGGCCTGCCTCTCCGGCCGGAAGGCCTGGCTGAGAAGGAATGACGCTCGCCTCCGACTCTGGCCCGCCTCTCTGATCGGAAGGCCTGGTCGAGAAGGGACGACGCTCGCCTCCGACTTCGACTCGCTTCTCCGACCGAGAGTACATCGAACCTCTACTTATAGCTCTTCTCCGACTGGGAGGCCGGAGCTGACTGGGGAACGATCGACCGGGGACACCCGCTCGGTAAAGACCCAGGGAACGGCCAGAGCAAGTAAGACAGAGCGCTCCAGTCAACCGCAATATCAAGGACCGTACCCTGCACACCTGCAGGACAGTACTGTCAGATCATGTCAGAAGGGTACTTTGTCACCTTCCAGACATGTTAGAACACCAACAGTGTTATGGTGCCGATATTTATCCTACAGTATGGTAGGCGCCGACATTGGCCAATACCAGAAGATCACGACGGAGCCTACCACATGCATCCAGACATCAACAGTGTTGTGGGCGCCGACAAACCGCCTTGTACCCGACGACATGGGCAACAAGACTAGATAGCGCACACACTCTCTTTCTCTCACATTCTCTCTCTTATAAAGTCGTCCCCTTCATCTATAAAAGGGGATGCTCTCCCTCCAAATGAGAGAGGATCGAGTCGAGCAACCTACGATTCGAACGATTCCAACAGAGCACACACTCAAATACTTAGCGCACGTGGAAGCTCCCGTCTCTCTCGGCCCTTCGGTCCAGAGTCCGACCGGACCTCTTGCACCCTCTATTTTACTCCCTCTCGTTTGTAACCCCACAGCAAACTTCGAGCACGTGGGCTCAGAAATAAAGTCACCGACTAACTCAGACTGGACGTAGGACACGTTGCCTGAACCAGTATAACCCCTGTGTCATTGAGTGCTAGGCCACATCCGATCACAACGTACGGCAAAACTATAAATATTTGCGTGTTGGTCACTTTTCGCACCGACATTGTGCTTACTCTTTTTTCTAACAATAGTCAGTACCAAAAAAACTGCGTAGCTTTATGATGTGGTACAGTAAAGAGTAAACCTATTTCTGAAGTCTGAAACAATGAGCTGAGATAGGATGCAAAACCAAAATAAATATTACCTCATATGACTTGATCATCAGAAAGCCTGAGAATAATGCAGAGAGCCTGTACTATTTTAGGCACACTACATACCCATTCGAAAGCTTCTTGAGCTGCCACATCTCCCATTCCAACAAATGATGTGCACGACAAGAGGTGACAAGCACCGCTTCTTGATGAAACCTGCAAGTGTTCCTCAACGGTTGCAGGGACATACCCTTCCTCACGCCATTTTACCTCCTTATTATAGGCTCTTACTAGATCTACAATCTGCATATCATGGGACAAAAACATTGGTAACTAATATCTCATAATTAGTTGTACCTCGTACCTATAAATACATTAGGAAAAAAATAATAAGCAACTCTACTTCACTTATCTTTTTGGGCTAAAATTCATCTTAGGATTTATTAAAATTGGGCATACAACACCATGGCTAATAATGGATATCCGATACAATTATTCAAATGAAATATCTGACCTAACTATTTTTTTTTTTAGGAACAAAAACTTTATTAATAATTAAGGAGTACCATTACAGACAAGAGACAAAACAAACTCAGGAAAAGAAGCAAAAAAGACCTCACTACGACCCGACCTAATTGCAAAATGAGCAAGTTCATGCGCTACATTATTTTGACTCCTACCAATTTTAACGATGTCTAAACTACTCAACTCCTCCATAGCAATCTGCGCTTCACGCACCAGAGACCAGCCCACCGAGCGGTCTTGATCAGTGTTCTTTAACTTTGCGGCCACCACAACACAATCAGTTTCCAACACAATATGAGTCTCCGGCCACCGTGCAGCAAGTGTAATCCCTTCGCGGCATGCAGCAGCTTCCTCCTCCTCAGCATCCCTGCAATATGAAAGCACACGCCATGATGCCAATTTTGCTTGACCTGCATGATCTCTGATCACCACACCCACAGCAGCGGCCCCCGAGCTAGGGATGAAGACGCCATCAACATTAATCTTCAAGGAACTAGGCGACGGAGGGCTCCACCATTTCTAAACCTATCGATCAGCTACAGAGGGGCGCCTGTTCCCCACAAGTGCACACTGCTTCCCCTTAGTATCGTGTTGCGAGCTTCCCTGACGGCATTGTAGAAGAGAGTCCATATATCGTGTCAAGAAAACGATGGACCCCTCCACAGAAACCTTTTGTCCAGCGCGCAGGACACTGTTGCGTACACTCCAAACCCTCCATAAGAGCATAAGCAAGTTTGCATTCACCTCTGCCATGAATCTACTCATGAGGACTAACAACCAATCGGGTCCAGTAAACACTAGGTCCTCCTCAACCGGCAGCGCCCAATGCTCTCTCATAGCGTGACGCAGGGCAACGGCGTGAGGGCATTGCACACAAGCATGGAAACAATCTTCACTCCAGTGACCGCACATCTCATAGGTAGCTTGTGGAGCAATATGTCGATAACACTTATTAGCTTGAGTAGGAATCCCATTGTTGGCGATTTTTTAGGGACATTAAGAGACCATAAGGTCTTCCACACCTTTCTCCCATCAGCAGGAGTAGAACTGCTGCCGATCTCTCCTTCACCATGCTCCCTTCTCATATCCAGTCTATATGCACTTCTCACAGAAAAGATACCGGCCTTTTCAAAATTCCAAGCCACCTGATCCGAACAAGCATTGCGGGGAATTTTAATCTTCAGTATTTCCTCGACATCACAGGCATAGAAATATCTCCTCACCAGCATTTCATCCCATGATCTAGATTGAGCATCAATCAAATGAGAAACCCATCTCAACCTGCAATGCCGAACACTTCCCACAGGTTTCAACCCGTGTTCTCTGGGGATCCAATTGTCACGCCAAATGCGAATGCTCTTTCCATCACCCACTCTATATATTGCCCCTTGCTTTAGAAGGGCCAATCCATGTTCTATTCCCCTCCATGAAGGGGAGGCATCTCTTGCAGGGACCGTGTCCAATAAATTCCCTTGTGGGAAGTACTTAGCTTTCAGCACTCTCGCACAAAGACTTTCAGGGTGGAAGATCAGTCGCCATGCCTGTCTTGCTAACAAGCCTGGTTCACCAACCGAAGATCTCTAAAGCCCATACCCCCAAAACCTTTTGGCATAATCATTCTTTCCCAGGGTACCCACTGAACTTTCCTGTGGCCATTTTCCGAGCCCCACCAGTATGCTCGTATATGCTTCATCAAATTATCACAAAGAGTTACAGGCAACTTGAAGACACTCATCACATAATTGGGCAAGGCTTGCGCCACCAACTTAATTAGAACTTCCTTCCCAGCCGTGGACAATTCCTTCTCCTTCCATGCAGTCATCCGTTTATGAAATCTTTCTTCTAAAGGTTGGAAAACTCCCATTTTCAACCTGCCCATAGGTGTCGGTAACCCCAAATATTTAGCTTCGAAATCAATTCTCTGAATCCGCAAAATCTCTCTAATCTGGTTTCTGACACCCTCCTGTGCATTCTCACTCATGAACAATGAACACTTACTTGGACTCAACTGCTGACCTGTGCACCTTTCAAAGACAGTAAGAGCGTGCTTAACTGCAGCAGCTTGAACCTGATTCGCCCGGAAGAAAAGAAGGGAATCATCCACGAATAACAGATGTGTGATGCTCGATGCGCGCCTACAAATCTTCAATCCACTGATCTGTCCCACACTCTCGTAATGCCTCAACAGAGAAGAAAGACCATCAGCAACTAGGAGAAATAAATATCAAGATAGTGGATCACCTTGACGTAGACCACGAGACGGGGAAAAGGAGTGCAAGGGCACCCCATTGAAGCGAGCGGCTACCCGCGGCAGCGGCACGACTCTTCCGACGAGATAGGGCCCTAACGGAGGGGTGGAGATGGCGGGGAAGCATCAGAAACTCACCGTGCACTGTGCTGCGGTGACGGTTGAACCCAGGGAGTGCTGAGGTGGTCTAGCCACATGCGCCCACACCACGCGGCGACACTCCGAGCACGGCACCGACGCGTCACCGCACCCACGACGGAAATCCGGACCAACCTGACGCAAGCACCAGCTAGAGGGGATCAAGATGGGTCCAGTAACACGACCAGTTGAGTCCTTTTCCCATGGGTTGGGTCTTACCCCCAACCCGCTGGCCGCGGTGGCGCTTGTGGCCGGCGGCGAGCAAAGCCCGAAATTGCCCACAGACGGACCACTGCTGGACCCGACGAGAATGGAGCACCTAGCTAACTTCCTCTGCTTCTCACTGACGCGAGGAATTGGGCTGGGAAGCTTTGAGTTGGTGATTATGAAGGGGAAAGGAGAGCGGCGCACTGCCACCGCCACGTCGCAGGTAGCGGCCCGGCTGAGGTGACCCGACCAAGACCCAACAAGGCATGGCAGCACAAGGACACAACCGCACGAGCGAGGGCAAGGGTCACGTTGTTTAATGCTCGGGTGGAGCCTTTAGGGGGTGCCTGTGCGGCCATGTGCACGCGGCAGCGCGACCTCGCGATGCGGCAAGTCACACCACAGCGCCGAGAGCAGAGCTGGGTAGGTGGGTTGAGTGGCAGAGGGCGAGCGCTGCAGTGAGTGAAACCACTAGAGGACAAGGCGCAGCCCTGCATGTGCGCTTGGATAGTGCCACGATCGGCAGCATCCCGCGCACGGTGGAGAGCGGCTGTGGCCATGCCTGGCCCGACGGGCAGCCGACGGCCACACGGCTGGCCAGCGGGACATCGGTCATGGCCATAGGGTAAGCTAGCCAACGCGCAGCGCAGCGCGTGGTTGCAGCGGCCGGCAGTAGTGCATGTAGCCCCCGACGGTGCGACACCGGACGCGATGACCGTGTCCCCAGGCCCGAACGGCCGAACCACTTGCTTGCACGATTTTTGGAGTGCGCCAAACTTCAAACCCAGCTCAGTGGAGGTTCAACCAAAGTTACCAACCTAGGGCCGATACTAACACCTAGCTGACAAAGCAAACCACGCTCCTAGAGAGTGACCAGAGAGGGAAATGGAAGAATGCCAACATGAGCTTGTCGCGCTGAACGCCCGTTCACGACCGAAGCCCAAAATAAAACCGACAACACGTTCTAACAAAGTTAGGGCAATTTTTGCAATGCCACGCCAACCCCAACTCATCCGTAGGCTACACCCTGCTACAACACTCACCTAGAGGCAACCAACGAAACAAAACTGTGGAGCTAGTGCTTAAGTATTTTAGTTAAAACGTAAACGCCAAGATGACATTGTATTCTTCCTTTTAGTCTTAGAAGGACTAGAGCTCGGATTCGATGTTTGAGCTCCCAAAACTCTGGTTAACACTATTCACTTTCCAAATCTAAAGTTGCACTCTTAACTACACTATTTGCTCATCCTTTTACATAAGCACTATACATACGTTATATTTTGTTTCTGTTTACCGAAATTGCTTTCTGTTTCATGTGTGTTTTAACTCGTTAAAATTTGAAAACTCGTTCGGCTAGATTTCCCGAGGCCTTAACCTAGGTGCTAAGTAAGTTCGTAACACCAGAGGTGTTACATGAATCCACAGAACAAGCAAAAATTTGGTAATCTCTCGTACCGGATTTGGACAAGGACCTCGTCACTTGTGATTTCATCGACCAGCGTAATCTCCCTCTGCAAAGGCATGAACAAGGGGAGCTGAACTCTAGTTCTGATGAACTTGTCGTTGATGTAGCCTCTTGCGTTGTCGTCGATCTTCATAGTTGACCCGATGATCTCCCCGAGATCATGGGCCAGCTTCTTGGTGAGAAGGTAGAACGGGATGTTCCTGAACTGCACCCACATCGGTACATGGGTGAAGAGAGCCGATGACGAATCAGCTCCTGCTGCTAGCCCTTCCACCAGGAAGGCGTCGCCTTTGTACTGCCAAGGTCTGCCCAGAATGGCATGCCTCTAATCACCTTCCTGTGAGAACTCCAGGACGAACTTCCTGCCCGTCTCCTCCTCCAGTGGACTGTCGTCCATCTCCCCACGGATCTTCCATACCTTCTTCATGTGATCGATCAGCTATCTTGAGCGCACCAGCAGAACAGAGAGGAAGAAGCCGACCGCCAAGAAGCGTTGCGAGGGCTTGCGTGCCCCAGTCATGTCAATGACCAGGACACGCTTTCCCTCGGCCTTGCTGTTCTCCTCCACCTCCTTTGTCGAGCCTATTGGGACAGGGTGAGCACCACCCATCCCATCACCTTCAAGCGCCATGAGCTGTTCTGGGTGTTCCGCCATTGAGCAAATCAGCGAACACCTTGAGGGCAGAGTGGGCTGGTTCTGGACTTGAAGAAAACTTTTTGGAAGAATCTGTAAGCTGTTCTTGGAACTTTTAAAGGGGAATTCATCGAACTCATAACTGATCTCTTCATGTCCCAATTTACTGACTCTAATTACCTGTAATTCCCCTTTCTTCAGCACGTGGGAGGTGGGGGTGTTTCCTGTCTTCATGACCTTCAAGATCAATAATGGGGTGAGTTGATGCTGAAACTGCAGGCCCCGGATCTGGAATCTTGAAGACATCATCAAGGATTTTGGCTACTTTGATCTTCAGAACACCCAGCCGTGACCTTAGGATATGTAGACGGGCTTCTAAGTTCTTCGAGTTTACTGTAGCTATGCTAGTTCTTGTTTGGATATCAACCTGATTCTGGGATTTTTGTTGGTTGTTGGAGAGTCCATCGGCATCAGGATTGGTAGCATATAGGTTTTGGGTTTCAAAGATTGGTTTGCATCAATCTGTGGATTGGTTTCTAGGTTTGTCGCCGAAGAGCGGTGGGAACGGAACAGTCACAGGCATCCTAACCAGTCTATTTTGGGTCTACTTGGTTATCCGACCTAACTATGGAAATTATCCAACCAGATATCTGATATTTGGTGGATATTTGTTAATTGTTCTTATATTGGAATGATATCTGAGGGGATAGTTTGTTAATTTGTATCCAATATTGTAGAAAATATCTAGATATTAAAAAAAGAGCTCTGAATCACTATTTGGGTGGTCCAGGGGTCCAGAAACATCAGCACATTTGCACCCTTAGGATGAAGGATGTAGATAATTGATAAACCATGTATGGGGCACGCTGACATGAATGAAAACTAGGCTTTTGTGTTGATAATGAATATAAGGCTTGTAGGTCAATTAATTGACACCATAGGAGATGTAAACTAAGTACTAAATATACTGACAATATGGGAAAATTTCACTCACAAAAATTTTTAGGTAGGGCATGCGGTATTTCTCCTCCGGTGCTAGCTCATCCTCAATGCTTTGGCAAGTATCCAAAATTTTCCCAAAAATGAACTTCATGTTCTCTGGGAGACCTCCGGTGACTGCAGTGTCCCAGCTGGACCAAAGCAATTTTCATCCTGTGTTCGTTACATTTTTTTCTTCTAGTATTATTCGTAGTAGATAAAGAGTTTCATTTCAGTCATCAAAAGTACAAACCTTTCTATACACTTGGTAAATAACTCACACTCTTGTGAAGTTCCATAGACATCGTAAGTGTCGTCCAATAAGGACACAATGGCAAGAACTTTTGACAATATTACTCGAGCTCTTGAGTAAATTGGTTCAAAATATACTCCCACCATCCAAAAGTAGCACTCCACAACTCTGTCTCGAGCAAATGATAGCCTTGATTGAAGTTCTAGATCATTCCACCACCTGCTCATTCTTAATTAAACCACAACTACAAATATGAAATGTGTAATAATGCCCACAAAAAAAATTGATATCATGGTAGTCTCCATATTTTTTTGTTGTGATTAGGAATGCAAGTTCTGTTTTGCAGACCATCAGGTGACCCACGGCACATTAAATTGAACTTCTACAGATGTAAAGTAAAGAAATTGGGTATACATGAACTACCTGAGGTGGAGCCATCTATTGGTGTCACCCAGCCATATATAATTGTGATTCACGATAGTATAGTCCCTCAGTTCTAAATTGTATGTTACTTTAGTTTTGTTATAAGCTAAACTTCTCTAATTAATATTGACTAAGTTTTTAGCAAAAAATATACTAACATCTATGCACTATCAAAATATATTAATTCTATGAAGAATTTAATAAACTACTTTGATGTTCTAAATGTTGGTGCTTTTTCTATAAACTTGGTCAAAGTTAGAGAAGTTTGACTAGCGACATTGCTAAGTGACCTATAATTTTGAATGGATGGAGTAAGTCACTTCACCTTGTTATGATTTTCAGCTCTTCTTGATGTTGGAGCTGCACAAGATTATAGTTGAGCTTTGCTAGCTCCATTACCATTTCATTAGCTTCAGTCTTACTTCCATATTCAGCTATATGAGATTTGGCTTCATAAATTCTTACACTTCGAGGAAGCGGGATCTCAAGCACACGCTTTATTTCACTTGCTAATGATGTTTCCATGTTGGGTGCTACTGATTTTAAACACTTCGTCGTGAAGGAAATAGCCTCATCAAGTATTATCTCTCCATGAGTCCTGAGACAAGCAGCGTTGTAAAGGTTCAGTAGATCCCTTGCATTGTTTGCTGCAAAACACCCCTGTTCGTCTCTGAACTTGGCAAAGACATCTGGAACAGATAATTCTAGAATTATACTTCGAACAAAAATAATATTTTGTCTTTGTATCACCTCTTCTGGATGTTACTATAGACCAATTTGCAGCGTAAGATTTCAGTTTAAGATAAATTATGATGCCGTTTAATATCCTGCAGTGTACTTAATGAGCAAAATGATTTTGTTTTGTAAAGGCTGCAAATCAGAAGTTTAATGTGTTTTGGTTACCTGATGAGACCCTGTATCCATGCTTTCGGAGAAGATAGAACCACATAGCCACCGTTTGAAGATCACAGCCACAAACATTAACGTTACTAATTCGAGTTAGCATATCATTGATCTCGTCTTCAAAAAGATGATCCAGACAAAGACGCTCCAAGACATCAATGAGATGAATCCTATGGTACAGACTACAAGCAATTGAAGCTGCTATCAGTTTTGCCACTTGTTCCTTCAGTTGTTCCGCTCGATGTACCATCCATGCCTGTTGAAAACTTGAAATGTTTTCAGATGCATGGCGGATCAATGCTCAGCTTAAAATAAACGAGTTTAGATCAACAAGATGCCACTTAATTTAGATTGTTACAAACCTTTTGAGTGGACGACGTAGCCAGAGGACTGGAGTAGGTAAGGAACAAATCTCCCCAGATGGATGGCTGAAAACCAGGGGCGGCGCTACAAGGTATGCCAGGTATGCACTGGCATACCCTGCAGATCCAGCAATAGCTTTCATGTATATACGTTTGTATTTGTAAAAAAAACAAAAAAGACCGTATTTGCACCATGGAAAATGAACGCAGCAGCTGCTCCTTTCTGAGAGATGATGGACTTTCCTGGTTTCCAAGCCCACGCGGCCATATGGACGGGAAGCCTAGGTCCTGCCCACGCGGCCATAAGGACGTCAGGCGGAAATTCGTAAAGTCAAGGTCCAGTCCTTAGAACGCGCAGTTCCTGACCGTCGACGCCTGGACTTTCTATTGATCTACTAGTATTGCAGATTAGAGTCTCGCCTGAGTCTTGCCCGCTGGCCGCCGTCTCGAGGCTTGAATCTTCACGGCGCCGACTGCCGAGTACGTGACATGGAGGATCGGCCTGATGCGCGTGCACGATTAACATGCATATATAGTCCGACTGCCTGAGCCACCGCGGTGAGAATCAATCTCTTTTTTTACTATTCGTCGTTCTATAGAAAGATCATGTTTATATCCATGGCTAATATCATCCAGTCATCAATAATATGCAGTGAGATCGAAGATTTGCTCAACATCAGAGACAACCGAAATTGATCAACAATTTAGTATCATGTGAGTGTTTGTGTCATCACATATGAGGATTGAGGGTTCAATCCGTGCACTTGCAATTTGTTTAATTGTTTGGTATTGTGTTTTTAATAATTGTGTAGTTATCAAGAGAGATGGAGATATTGCATTGCTTTTTAATAATTGGGTAGAAGAAGGTGATATCATCAACACATTCATATCCCATAGAAAGCGTCGGCTAAAAAAGTCAGATAAGTAGTATTGTAAGTCTCTTACTCTCTTTTATGCATATATTTAGAGCTATCATTATGATGCTTAAACTATTCATATTGTAATGTCGTGGATGTTTTTCAACTTAATCTTCAAATTTAAGACTTATCGTGTTATTTATTGTATATAAGCCGAATTACATTATAAATTTTATAATTGTTACCGAATTATCAAATGATTTTATCGATTTGTATATGAATTTTTTTTTGACGGCATACCCTGATCTAAAATCTATATTCGCCACTGCTGAAAACCGGAGACGTTTCAGCTCGCACGACGATCCTCCTCTTTTGTCTGCCTACTACTAGTGGCGGCGGTGGCGGTGGCACTAGCAACGACGACACCGGCGGCCCTGCTAGTCCAACCAAGTGAAGGCAGATGCCTCCCGGGCCCCGGGTGCCGTCGAACCAGCAGGATTTGCTTGCCGGCCAAGACCACTGGCGGCAGCGCTGCACTGTGCTGCTAGCTTCATGTTCGTCATGAGGAGGAAGGGCGTGTACGTGCCGGTGCTGGTGCTGGTGCTGCCTGTCATTTTTCAGCGAGGTTCTTGGAATGCCTGCTGCTACAATTTGCTGCCACAAATGGCACAACCACGCATTGTCGTCTTTAGTAGTAGCCTATGCCATGTCCTCGGGCTGGATTAGTGGCAAGTTTAATTCACGTGAGCCTCTTGCGTCTGGGGCTTCATTGGTTTAGTGGCAAGTTTCACGTGAGCCTCTTGCGTCTGGGGCTTCAATTCATTGGTTCAGTACCACGTCTAGAGTGCTAATCTTACAACGAGGCCGACAAGATCCACTCAAATCTTGTAACCTCTGTTGTCCGGTTTGGCAAGCAGATCGACACTCAGGGGAAACCCTCGATCTGTTCTTGCACCCAAAAAGTCTTTCTGCAAGCAGACCCTCAAGCCGTGAAATTGAATCTTCTTGATGAAGAAGTTGTCATTTCTTGATCAATGACATATATATATTGTCTTCTCAGTCGAAGGAATTTAGCTGAATTCTCTAGAGCTCATGGAGACCAATTACCGACTGTAGTATTCAGGACTGCTCGTGTCCTGAATATTTAGTTTTACGCTTCACCGGCAGTTTTGGTGTTGAACGTGATGGCAACATATTTTAAGGCGATTATTTGGACTAACAACTAGTTGGCTAAACTTTAGCTGTTACTAAAGTTTAGCCAAAACCCAACTAGTTATTAGTCCACTAATTCATAAAACCCTATCAGAGGCTAACAACTCATTCTAATTTATAGAACCTAACAGATATGGACTATAACTAGATGACTAGTTTTTAGCTAGCTACTTTTGTCATGGAGTCGCGTTCTGCGAGGAGAGAGCGTCGAGAGTACTGCCAGTCTCCGGCCCCTTCCCCATCGTCTCCGGCGTCTTCGCCGGCGGTAAGGGGAGGTGGGCCGGTCCCCTGTTCATATATATTAGTTAGTGTTTTGTTAGAGTGCTTGGATGGGTGTCGTCCTCGTTCATGGCTACTGCCTGGAGCTCCTGGCCGGAGTTGCTCGCGTCGTCGTCGGCTGTGTAGTCATCATCAGCCTCTTCGCCCTCAACTCCAGCTCCAGTCCATGCGCGGGAATCAATAAAAGCAGGGATGGGTGTTCATCCATCGCTGCTGTCGTCGGTCAGAGAGGCGTCGTGTCCGTTGCCGATGCCTCGGTTTCGTTTTCCTCAACGCTGCGAGCAGTGTTGCTCGTGGTCGCAGCTTCGCCCATAGCTGCTGCCGCGGAATCACGGAGGTCGTCGCCCGCAAGGTCGTCGTCGCAAGCTTCTGCGGCCGCACCTCCGGCGCGACTCCGGTCGAACCGTCGATCGGCGCCTCCGTCCAGCAGGATACGTGGCAGCAATGGGACCCACTGTACTGCACACGCGTTGCTCAATCATGGCCCTACGTTCTGCATGGGGTCCTCAGGGTGGCACGCGTCTTCTGCGCTGGAAGCACAAGGCCACTCGAACTTCATCAGGTTCACACGTGTGTAGCACAGACAGAGCATTATACTTTTCATTGTTCCGCTCCTCAGTTTCCTTGCAGACATAGAAGTGGCAATGCGTCTACGGGTGTTCGGGTCGACCGCCGACGATCATCGATGCCGGTGCTCAGATTTGACATTGGTATGTGCAAAACCAATATCTTGAGTCCGATGAAGCATATAATATATCTACGGCTCATGATTTTATATCGTGGAAGACACAGCCGATCAGACAGTCGAGGAAAGCGCCGACTGTGTTATCGAAGTGCGAGAACGAGGACGCTCGATGTTTCTACTGTGGCCACTTCTCGTGGGCCCTGTAGCCCCAACGGTCCCCGCGCCCTCTAACGAAAACATCACCTATGTCTACAAAAGCATCTCAGGAGTAGCTTTTACTTGACTGTGTTCTGTAATCTAGGAATTCTTTTCACACACTGGTGTACTGTACTTTAATGTTGTATATTAAAAGTTATTGTTGTAAAAAAAATAGTCATAATCCATTCAAATAGGGTCTTAGTTACAAACGTGTAACATAATGTGATTATTTTGAGGAGCCCTAGTGTGAGTGTAGTATTCAGACTTGCTTTTTGTTTTTCTGAGTGTCTAAAACCGCATGTCGCCAGCAGTTTGTAGTGTTGAATGTGAAGCCAAACATACTTTAGTTACAAACGTGAAACACTACGTGAATAAGTGTTGGATGTGATTATCTTGATGTAACATAATGGCAGGATTAGTAAAAAGAATTACTTGGGTTGCAACATGACAGATTTCATTAAAAAGAATTACGGCTGCTGATTCTTGAAAAAGCGATTGGTAAGTTGTAAAACTGTGATGATAGAACAGATTGAAGATCATTGCTTTTAGTAGGTCACTGCACCTGATGAGACCTTGCGCAGCATACCAATGCAATTGACATCACCATCGTAAATTTGAGCTTTTTTTTGTAGAATTGAGTTGAAAATATGATCCAAGCAAAGATGGTTCAAAACAGAGATGAATTCACTAATACATGCTCTTGTCCATCTACCTCTAGAGTTGCTTCAAGTCAAATTATTTTAAATTTTAAATTTGACTCATTTTATAGAAGAGTACGAACACCTATGACATTAAAAATGTTATTTATGATTTATCTAATATAATACAGATTTGGTATTATAAATATTGGTGCTTTTTTTTAATATAAACTAGGTCAAACTTTAGATGAAGACATAGGTTAACTCATTATTTACAAGGGAGAAAGTAAATGTTGATTAATTGTTTATGCAAAAAATATATTAGGCCAAACTAAGTTTAAGACATAGGACAACATTAAAAGTTAATTTATTTTAGAGCAAAGAAAGTATACATGCGGATCAAATGTCTGTGACATAGGACAAATCTACAAGTGTTAACTTTTAAGATGCTAAGAGCAACTCCACCAGATTGAGAAAAACAAACCTCTTTCCCTAAAAACTATCATATAGGGAATAGGGTGAGAAAAAAAAAACAGTGCTAGCAGATCCCCTTTTCTCAATCCCCCCAACCTATATTTTTTCTCAAAATCCCTCAAAACCTCCCCTTAATCCTTTAAATAGAGGGGAGCAAGCAGCCTTTTTCCTCAATCCCTTTCCCTTGATCTGTTGGAGCACAATATCCCCCTCGTAGACAAAAGTTTGTTTTCCCAATCCCCTTTAGCTATGAAGCTAAAGCTGGGTACACTATGTTGAAGCTAAAGCTGGAGAGCTGCACCAAACACGTACATCGCCACCAGCTAATCATGTGCCCATAAATTTTGCAGAAATGGTTTTGAAAAGGCATACATCAAAGGATCCCAGAGCAGTGTAAAAGAAAAAGCATACATCAAAGGATCCCAGAGCAGTGTAAAAGAATATTACACATCCGCACCAAGATCATATTGCGCGATTGTATTTGAGATGTGGCACAAAAACATTGGAGGCAAGTGGGAAAATATGACCATAGGAATTTGAAAATACTGCAATCAGACATTGATGGCACGGGGCAAAATAAGCTCTGCTGCGGGCACAACAATATGACAATAGTTCATCTGTTCGACAACAAATTTTGGCAGAATTTCAACAGGTTCAGTACATGAACAATCTAAGGTACCACCACATGGCATTTTAATCTCAGAGAAAAGTAAGAAATATGCATGGCCATTTCTAGTCCACCTTTACTCCAACAAAACCTGCAGTCATAAAAGCCCAGAATAGCATAAGCAAAGGCATCGCAGGCTATGTGTATGGAATTTTTTGAAAGAGTTAAGCATTGGATCAAGCTACAAGTTCAAACTGTGTTGGGAGCCACATGCCCAAATTACTAAACAGGATAAGGTATGTTTACAACCATTCAATTGTATCAAAAAGGCAATAAACATTCTCTAAACATCAG